GTGAGCATAGCGATTGGTTTCAGTTGTGATGTGATTTACACAGTCGTCATCCAGAAAAAATTTTGATCCATGAAAAGGGATGCATTTTATGTGTTATATCAGTTTTGATCCCGAAACTATTAGCAAATGGAAATATTGGGGGTACAATGTCTCCGTACGTTCATGAGATGGGCGTGTCAGGCACCGCACTCGTGGTAGGTAAATGTTCATGATTACTGTCTTGTGGATCATTGTCTATCACTGTATTATTGTCACTATCAACTTCATCCAATTCAGGAATCATTATTTCATCGCCACTATCATCATCAGAAAAAATCTCGTTCACAACATTTTCCAGCTGGTCTGTAGGAAAACGAAGACACTTGCTGCAAGAAGCTATGGTGAAACTGAATGAATGGGAAATATTTTCTGACCTTTACCTTCTCAGAGGGTTCTGACAGTAATATAGACCCCCACAAAGTTTACAAGGGTTCTTTACAAACATGCACAAAAACTATCATAAATATGTCTTTGGTTGATGAGTGCCAAGAGAGCAAAGAAGGGACGAGATTGTCAAAGCGTTAAAACACGCCAACGCCAGGGAAAGGCTGGCATCGTCCGGGCGTTAAACCACGCCCGCGCCAGTCAAAGAGTTAATGTCAGAGACCAAGTTTCACACCTATACAGAACAATAGGAAAAATTATAGTTTTGTACATTCTGATTTTTGTGTTTTTGGACAGCAGACGATAAGACCAAAGGTTCTGGACTGAATGGTAGCAAGCATTACCAGAATTCAGTCTGTCTGTAAACATGAAGAATCTTGAGAACTGTTGAAGGATTATAGGTAAAGTTGTCTCTGTGCTTAACTAATTAAGCACTATACCATGAAGGTGTATGGGGGAGTGGATGTATAGATCCACATTTTCTTGACCTCGGCACTAGTTGAAGGTGAGCGGTCAGTTTCATGCCCCTGTCGCTTTACCCCTGGAAAAAGACCCCACCCGGTACCCATTGGATAGGAGGCTGGGTGGGCCCCAGAGCCCGTCTGGACATTATGGTGAAGAGAAAATTCTTACCCTACTCCACTCTCCCATGTTTCATTGTGTTCTGTTTAATTAAGCACAGGGATAGTTATACTGTTACGATGTCATGAATGTTTGTTGTATCATATAAAATTGTAAGACTTATTTGGTGATCCTGTTAACAGATCAGACTGACAAATGGTGAAGCTCTGACACAAACATTTGGGTCCAAGGAGCAACTGTCTGCAGTTAGATTATATGTCGAAATGAACAGAACAGATGGAGATGGACCTTTCTCTCTAATGACCAACTTTCCCAAGAAAGTCTTCGCTGAGGATGACTATGAGAAACCACTTGATTTATTAGGTATGCGAATAATAGTTGATATCACACCCTCAGTGCCTTCTATTCTGAGTACAGCGCAGAGTATAAGGACTGCATTTAAGATGGACATCATGTTTCTCAGAACTTGTCAACACCTGGTGCAATTTCATTAGAATTCCCATTATTTATATTAAACATGTATTTTGTTTAGAGTATCACAGAGTACCCAGGCTTTTATTGGTGCTGTTCTCTGTAAAAGATATTCTTAACTGTTTCATAAATTTGAATTTGAAATTGAGGATCTGTCTACCTTGATCCTGCTTCTAGAAGTTACATTCACCATTAGGCTAAGTAACTAACTTCATAGAACTGAGCCCTTCTTGAGAAGCTGCCAGGTTTGCAGCCAATCAAGAATTTCCCAACATTTTATCCAACCTGAAAGTTCATTACCATGTTCATATCCTGAACCAGATCAATTCAGTCAATTCCACCTCATCTTATCTCTCTAAGATCCATTTTAATATGAACCACCCACCAACTTCTTGGTTCTTGTAATTGCTGTTACAGAATGAATTAATAGAAATAAAATTTTTTAACAAATTTATTAATGTAGAAATTCTCAGAAATCTGCTTGATGTACATGAAATCTTCTTAGTTCAACTTGTTCATACTATGGATAGATATGGATATATGAACACAGTTTCATAAGTATTCAGACAGGTATGAGGTACGCTTAATCGGCTGGTCTAGATGAACACTTCAGACTTGAATTCAGTAGGTGCCCAGCTCAAATCACAACATCACTGGCTATACTGAAGTTTTTCATGTTTTTTCTCAGTCTATTCAGGCAAATTCCGAGATAATACCTTCATTAGGGCATGACTGCTTTCTTTAAAATTCATATGTCGTCTCACCATTCAATGCTATGCAGTCTCTAATACCGAGAGTGTCATATAATAACCCACAAAGAATGAGGAAACAGGTACAGGAAACTGCCATAGGAAGTTAACATTTGAAATGAAAGGGCATTGCTTGCAAGTAAAACCACATTTAATGGCTGGCTGTATATTACAATAAACAGGAACAACATTTAGGAAAATGCAGAGTACAATCTTCTGTTTATCAAAATAAAAACAACAAACAAATATACTCTGGTTTTGTTGTTAAAAAAAATATGTGACTCATTCCAGCAGAGCTCTGTTTATGTGTAAGAACAGAGTGAAGTTCATGTATGCTTTACATATATCAGGCACAAGTTTACAGTCAATGTTGGTAAAAAGGGACTAGACAACTTATGTTTTTGCTGAACTATACTTCACTATACACTTCCCGCTGAAACGAATACCCTTCAAGAAGGTGTCTCCAAGTCTGTCCGACTGTGAGAGATAAGAGACAAAACGTAACTCAGGACAGAGGAGATCAGAGAAGACCAGATCGGAATTAAGACAAGATAAGATGAGATCAGAGAAGACCACATCAGAGGTCAGACGAGAGACGAAGCGCTAGTCAGGTCGTATCATCTGGAAGACGTGATTTCAGAGCTATCTCCTTTAAGAGGAACTGTTTTTCTAACGCTGATGTTGTACTGCTGGTTGTCTACAGACACTCGTTGGAACGTACGAGCTTTGGTGTACCCTAAAGGTGCTACGTACAAGTTTAATATAGGTATGGGATTCCCTGTGGATTTGCCGCAGAAAATCCTGTCGTTTTCAATGAACTTCCAGTTCCAGTACACGCAGCCTACGAACTTCACTCCTCTGAAAGAGTTCCCTGAAGTCAGACGGTCATTTCGTGAGACAGTGGACAGGACTTCATCTTACCTAGCCCTGCAGAATGTCATGGATAGGCATGGGTTGGACGGCAGAAACTGTCTCCTCAGAAGCATCTGCGAGGTTGCAGAGGCCCCAGTCTACTACAACGGGTTAATAGGAGAATTGCTCCACGTGATTCTTTCTAAATTAAATCCTGTACATATGTACATATGCCGAGGACCCTGAGAGCTACACCAGCGGTAGCGTAGCTACTGGCAGGGCCTCCCTTGCTGGACAGGTCAAAGGGTAGGCATCAGACGAAGAGAGACACCGAAAACTGATGCCGGAAGCAGCGTCATCAGCAGCGACTTGAAGCACAGAGCAAATGATGGTTCAAGTTCGTATAGCAACAGGCGTGACCAGAGTCGTTTGAACGGCTGTTGTACTGCGATGTGGAAAGCAAATGGAAAAACTACCACATTATCACTTTTCCTGGATAGTCTCTTTCCAAAAACAGAAGATCGCATTAAGTGGAGAAACTGTTTTGGAAGAGACTGTGGACCTGTCGTCTGACAGATTACTGATGATGATGATGATACTTTAATAATAAGTTTTATTTAATACTGAACTGGTTATGTAGCTAATATTTGTTGTTAAAAGAATAAACAAGGTGAAACCTATATTTAATAATGAAGTAACTCTTAGCGTATACAGAACAGGACATGCAAATCACTGCAGGAAGCTTTCAGAATCCCTTCTTCCTCTCCAGAAGGGACAGATTTATAAATGAGAGTGTAAGAAAAGAAGTTTGAATTCAAAATTTTTTGAGAGAGAAGAGAAACATTAGTGATTTTGGCCATATAAAGAGAATGGGTGGAACAAGGATACCAATAAGGACATTAGTGCTGAAATTTAAGAAATAGAGACCTGGAATAACCCAGAACAAGTTGGCCTAGCCGTGTACTGGAAGAGAACAAGAAGAGATGAAAGGGCTAGCAACATATTGAAGAAAAAACAGACTTTATCTGTCTCCATAAATGTGGGTGTAAAATCTTTCTTCACTATTTATGCTCTGGAATGTTGTGAGAATTTCTGTACCATAAATAATAACTGAGCGTGACTAACAATATTTAGCAGAATTTTGATAGTCCGCATAATATATTCTTCGTTTAATCCATTGTTTCCCAAAGGTGGAGTGCTGAACCTTTCTACAGGTGCTGATGAAAACCGATCTTATAACAAAGATCTAAATTAATTATATTCCTAAAGTCCACAAACCATATTACAAACATAGAGTTTAATAGAAAAAGTTCTTCATTAATAGTATTTTCATTAAAAGTGTTTATAAATTGATAAATTATTTCAGTAATTTTTATATGCTGTGGGGGGTGGGGGTCCTGAAACTTTTTAATTCACAATAAAGGAAGCCTCGGACTAAAGGGGCACAGGAACCACAATGTTAATCAGTAAAAGGGCTATTATATAAATATTAAGTTTAAACCTTTTTTTTTTTTTTTTTCTAATAATGGGAAGTGATAGAGCATTCTGGAAAGTATTGGTACAGATAATTCAGAGCAAAAGGCTAATCAAGGAAAACATCTCATTCTTCATGTATACTGCTACTGAAGCATTTTGGCAGTGATTAATGCAGTGTCAGTTAGTGGGATTTAAGAGATCAAGGGTCAGCAGAGTCCTGTTAAAAACTACCTTTTTTAATTTTCAAATACACTTTTATACATTGTAATGTCTGAGATGACTACAGGTACTCCTTTCAAGGCAATACTATTCTAACTATAGTTCCTATCAGGGCTCCAAGAAGACAATGGGTAGTCAGTCTATTTTTTTCAATCAGTAACATAAAACATACACGTACATAAAGGCTCCAGAAGTTACAGATTAGAGTCCTTGCTGCTGTGTGGGCAGCAGTTTCCGGAAAATATGATGGCAATATTATTCAGTTGAAGTTCTGTAAATTATGTTCACACTAGATCTAAAACCACAGAAGGTGCACTGCAATCATCAGCTGAATATGAATTGTTTCTTGATCTGTTTGTGATTGTAAGCTGAGAACAAAGCTTCCACATGTGATATGATGAAGAATAGAAACTTTCTGAATATTGTTAAACACATACAAATATGAAATTGAAGCAGTGGTAGCATCTACTTTGAAGCAGAAATTAAAGACTTAAAAACTGGGTCAAACAGCCCTACATTAAACCCAATGAGAAAGTATGCTGATAAATAAATATGATATACAGAATTGCATAGTCTCAGAATGTGGGTGTATTTTGTTGGGAATAGATTATGGAATGAGTTGAAAAAGTTGTGAGATTTTATATTATTACTGTTCATTAAGGATTCACAGAGTATTCAACATCATTTCAATGAAGTTCTGTCAAATCTATATCACTTCTAAGCCTTTTTCATAAATTTAAAATATACATATGTAGTATAACAAATTATTAGCTAAATACACATTTTAAACTGTGTCCAAAACATCTTTGAGGGCATAGCATAATGAGATAATGGTGTAGGTTCTTCTGTCTGTTATCACCAGGAAGTTACTGGAGTCTCTTATCAGCATATGATTTGAACAAGAGTTCGAGGTATTTTTCTTCTGATGGTATAACATACCCTCAAAGACACTTTAGACAAATATAGATTATATCTTCATGGAGCCTTATTCAACACAAATACAAATATATTTTTGGGGGGAGAATTTTTAATAGACGAGGTGTGAAATATAAGTATGCACCTCTGTAATTGCACTGATTTCTTTACATGCCCTTCACCAAAGGATCTCTCCACCCCTACCCCCAAATGCTGTGATTCAAATACTGATTGATAGAACAGAGTGTGTAGACTGCAATAGACCACTTCATGTGAAAATCACCCATACTTATGCATGTTTGTATTCATAATAGCCTTTAATATATATGTATTTATTTTTTACACTGCTTACTTGAAGACTTACTTCAGCCTAACTTGTTTTAAATTTCAGTGAATATTTTTTGTGCAGAATATTTTAACACAGTTATGTAGAAATACATTATACCCACAAAAAATACTTGCATCTGAAGAAACTGATATAGCAACAGATTAATCTTCAAAGAAGTATCCTTAAATCAAGAAATGTATACACATACATATTCATATAAATAATTATGGAATTCTGTGATTTGTTTATAATACAAATATATCAGTTTTTCATTTTCATGAAAATGTCTCTATATATGCCTAAGCTTCCTCACAGAAATATCAAGAAATTATTACAGATTAATTAAATCCTTTCGAACCATAAATGTTCAAGAATATATAATTTGCATGCGGTAGTGTAGTGGTTGAGGCACTATGCTACAAGCTGGAAGGTCACGGGTTCAAGTCCCAATGAGGTCATTGGATTTTTCCAGTTGTCCTAATCCTTCCAGCCGCACTATGGCCCTGAGGCTGACTCAGCCTCTAACAGAAATGAGTACCAGGAATTAATTAAATAATTTTCCTGGGGAGTAAAGCATGGCCAGTGCATAAGGCTGACAACCTTACTGCCATCTTTGAGCCAATTGTCTAGATAATGTGGGACCCTGAATGTCTCCCAACTCTATGGGCCTTCATGGCCTGTTACAGGGATAGCTTTACTTTTACTTCTTTACTTTTTATGCTTTACATGTATGATTTTGATATTAAAATTCATAATGCATATTAATTTTATAACCCAGGCATTTTATGTAACAAAATTTATGCTTTGATGAGAGATACTTTTAGTCTGAAATTATTCAACATATAGTACACAAACCTCAGAATTTTTGTTCACAGTGACATCAGTTTCATTCCATTTTACATCCTTCTAATAATGAGATGTGAACATATTTAAATTAATTAAAATAGCTTGTATTATTTGATATGCTATCCAGAGTAAAAATATATAAACATTGCCAACTTTATGGAATGTATCCTGTTGCGTGATCAAACTAATCAATTAATCATGTTCCGTCTAATGCAACGCAGAGAATATATAACATTCAATCTGTTTTATTAAAATCACAACATGTTTCGACCATTTTTGCCTGGTCATCATCAGGCTAAAATTGTTGCACCCTATGTCAAAATTATTTATTGTGTGTGAACGCAGTATTTCCTAATTAAAATAAATTGACCTTATTAAAAATAATTAACATCCCATTGTTTTCCTTGTGGTCATCGTCCATTCGTTTAGAACATATTTGCTTCGGTATCTCTTGTTTAGTATTTATTCCCTTTGCAACATGGGTATTATGCATGTTATTTGTGCAGTTCATAAGGATGTTCATGCAGTGTTATCAGTTTTGTTATCTTTGGCCATAGGTTCTTCTGTGTTACCAGAGTAGTTGTGTTGTTAATTGGTCTCTGTATATATATGTTATATAATATTACATTTAATTATAATATCTTTTATTTTATATTACAATAATATAATATAGAGAATAGGTTGCATTTGAGACACAAATATATGTGAAGTAAATGATATGTTAATGCAACAGGATGCTTAAATACAATATTATCAATACTTGAAAGACTATCTTAAAGTAATCCATTTTAGTATGGTATCAAGTTTGTACTTCTTACATGTTGATATTTTACTTAATTGTTCCAGGACTGGTGCCTTCAGCTGTTGTAATAGTTTCACGGACCCAGTAGTACAACTTAAATGTAAGCAACTTGAACAGCATTTAAGACTTAATCTAAAATAAATTAGCTGAATATTTAATTTTCCATTTTATATAACTTTAATTAGAGTCTTGGGGTAAAGGAACAAATTTTTGTGCAGTGTATTACTCATTGAGCTTATTAAATTATTGCTAGAAGTGGAGAATGTTAGCAGTAAACTTAATCATCAGCATTTACCCTATCCTGCATTATGACTTTACATTGGTCATGTTTTATTTACAGTGAAACTTGGATTTTACATTTTTCGTGATTACTCATATATGTACTTCCTGTTTGGTCCAAGCCAAATGTCCAAAGGGCGGTGTTAATTATAACTGATTTTATGTTTCCTCAAATTTATGTTTTCCTAAATTTTCAAGTAATTTTTTAGAATCCTCACAATTTAAATTAATGTGATTATATGTTTATAATGTTCTGTTTTGCAAGATATAAAGAAAAACTGGTGCCCTTATGTTTAGTATTTATCTTGGTAAAATAGGTGTATCTTTGCATGTGAAGGATATTGAACCTGATAGGAGACATCTGTATGGATCGAGAGCTTTTTTAAAAAGAGAGGGATTTTGTTTGAATGATTAAAGAAATAGTGGTTAGTGTATTTGCATGTACACTGTTCTTGTGTTCAGACATGTACATTTTAAGTGTCCTCCCAGTGCTGCAGTACAAAGCAGCCTTCGTATTGCTTTACGTTGTATAGTCTCAATTTCCCTTGTTTTGTGTTTATTTTAGATGGTTCCTTCAAAATTGTAAAATCAAGGTTTCACTGTAGTTGCTTTCTGCCAGATATAAGTTAACACTTAGGATTTTGAAGAAGGAACACACATTCTTATGTATGTATCAACTATATATCGATAATCTTCCAAACATTCATAGTAAATTAATTGTAAGAAACAATGTTATCATTCGAAAATATCAAATGGTATATTTTTATTAAAATGTTTCTTGTTTGTCATATATATATATATATATATAGAGAGAGAGAGAGAGAGAGAGTGCGAGAGAGAGAGATGAAGAAGAAGAAGAAGAAGTGTTATGCTGTCATGCATAATTGACTTTTTGACATTTTATTCCCTGAACCATTCAGATTAATTTTATTCCCATTGAGCAAGGTAGGACCAGTGGAAAGCCTTTCATTTTCCGAAATGTAATCTTGTAGAATTTTGGTTGACTTTACACCCTGAAGAATACTGGGCAAGTTTGGATGACGATTAAGATGTCATCCACTGCAGGAATTGTATGACATGCAAAGCTTCCAACAGCCAGGAATGCTGCCCATAGACTGGCCTTTCGATGGTGTCGAGCGGCTTCCCATACTCAGGAGGAAGTATGCTGGGATATACAAACGTTTCCTTCAAAGGACAATTAGTTTTTATGCCAGTTGCTGGATCTGATGTTCCTTTAATTCCATCGCAATCCGTCAGAGTCAGGTTCTTGTCAAAACAGATTTTGATTTGAAAAAGGTATGTCTCATTTGTTTTCTGTGAATTATAAACAATCATAATTAAACTAATTATTGGTACATTAATAAAATATTATGTTATAAGATGCAGCTTTTCCTGTTGGCCTGTATACATAATGAAATGGGCACCTGATGTTTTCTAAAGTGATGTTATACTTGCAACAAATGTTGATTTGGACAAGAATTGCCAATCTCTGCATTCAAGATTTTGAAAAATATTTACATGGTGTTTATAGAGGTATACTATGGGGATATCTGGTTAATTCTTTTTTCTAATTTAATATCATGGTTGCAGTTTTAGTGTGTGTTGCCACATGCATATTCTCAAGTATTTGACATTTAAGATGAAATTATCATCAGTGACAATAATGTTACAGTTTCAGTCTTACAAAATATTCTTCACTTCCTTTCTAATTCCAGATGGAAAGTTTTCCTTTCTTTTTCTTTTTTTTTTTTTTGGTGTGTGTGTGTGTGTAGTTCAGTATTACACAAATTTATATTCAATAAACATGAATTGTGTTAGAAATCACTGGAAAGGTCATAACCTTTTATGTTTTAGATCTGTAATAAGAAAACTTTATAACAAGGTAACAAAGCAAACAGTTTGGTTATAAGAGCTCTGGTATCATTGCAAGGGTCTGTAAAATAATGGATGTCTGAAATAATTGAGCTTTTGTAATTTTTTGTAAAATGAATATAAATCTTACTAAGTGGTCAGGTATGATGAGAGTATTATCGTGTAAAACCTTTTTGAGGATGTGGCAACATCTAATAGTGACACATCATTAGAAAGTCTCTATTTTAAACACAAATTGGAATGAGAGAAGCCATTCTTGAGCTCGTTGAACACACAGGACTTCTTTTCCATAATATTGCTTATTTAAGATACAATATACGCTTAGAAATGTTTTAGACAGACTGTATTAAAACAGATGCATAAAAATTATATTTCAGGATAGGAAGTTAATTAACATGGTTGAAGATAAGATCCAAAGGCAGTAATATTGCTACTACATGTATGACATTAAGTATGGGGATAGACATCATAAACATACCCATAAACTTTAACTTCTCCTAAATGAAAAATTTCTATCATTGGCATGATGGCAATAATTTGAGGTTAGGTCAGGCCTGGCAGCTTTCAAGTAGCAGAAATTATGCAGAATGGCAGAAGTTCTATAATTTATATCATCTGCTTCATACAGATATTTTCAGAGGGATTCAGCCTCTAACAATTGTGTACCAGGAATCTACCTGGGGGTAAAAGGCGGCCAGAATGTAAGGCTGACAACATCACTGCCATCTTTGAGCCACCGATTATCTAGAAAATGTGGGAATCTCAACATCTTACAAATGTGTGGGCTTCTGTGGCCTGTTAACCTTTATCGGACGAACGTCATCATATGATGTCGTTAAAAGTTAGGGCAGCTGGCCAAACGTCATCATATGATGTCGCGCATTCCACGCGTGTAAAGATTTTTTTAAAATTAAATTTAAAATATAAATTGTTCTTCTATTTACATAATTTTTGGTCACAACCTTTATAAGGTGACAGCCTTCCCTCCTGCGTGATCTAATGTAATCTACCGACGTCATATGGCCGAACGACCTCATACGATTTCGCGCATTGCACGCATGTAAAGATTTTTTTAAAATTAAATTTTTGCTCTACTTACGTGATATATGTTCACCATCTTCATGAGGAAACAGCCTTCCCCCCTGCGTCATCTATGGTAATGTGGCCTTCGTATTGTACTGCCGAAAAAGTTCCAAAATGCAGAGTCTGACGTCGCAGCTCACGCACTTCGTATGAACGCTAGACCGCTTCCCACGCGAAAAGCACACACGACACCTCAGTTGCGATTTAGAGGAAGCAGGCCAGTGATGTCGAGCTGCAGTGATATTTATCCCCGCAGCTACACCGGAATAATTATTCACACCTCTCTCGCCAC